TAATCAAAATCCGGTGGGGGCGGGGGGGGGGGGGGGGCTGGGAGGGGAGCTAAGGAAAAGAAAGATCTGAACACCCCAAGAATGGAGAATCGCGATTCCCCAACAACCCAGCCGCACTTGCTTGAAACTGAGCGTCTAGAGAGGATGGAGGGGTTTTGAGAGGCTCTGTGCTCCAAGGGTTGGGTTCAGGCAGAGCCTGTGGAGTTGTGGGGGGCCTGCAGAGTAAGGGGCCTCACCTCAGAGAAGGGGCCTGGCCACTTTCATCCTGTCAAGGTTCCCAGAATATTAAAACATGAAAAGGTGTCCGAACAGGGCCACAAACTGTGGCATGTATTATGTACTTAACAAATTAGCCCCCTTAATACACAAGCAACCCAAGAAAAAGGCAAGTGTGCGAATCCAGGGCTTATTAAAAGTGTGACTTCCTAGTGCCCTGCAGGTGGCAAGGATGGACGTGCGACACGCATGTGTGTCTGGCAACGTCTTTCTATTTTGTCAGTGGATACAGTGGGGAGGTCAGAGGTATTGTCTGAAGTCTAAATCTGAGTCCTTCGAGAATGGGGAGGCGCCCTCCTCTCCTCGTTCAGGTACTCGGAGCTAGGAAGCCACCGCTGGCCATCCGATGCTGTTTGTTACTGCTTGTCCTGCTTTGCTCTGGAGCAGACAGAGGGGCGCGGAGGGTGGGGTGGCACAGGATCAGTTGGCAGCTGGATGGCTGGTTCTATGGGGCCTCTCCAAACACCAGCGTTTGTTCAGGACATTTTCTTGGAGTCACCCTGGTGATAAGACTGGTGGGAGCCGCTAAGCAAGCCAGGTTTTAGAATCTTACCCCCAGAGATTTGATTTCAGAATTTGCAAGTTCCTTAACACAACTATTGTAGCTTAGACAGAACTATAGTCATTCTGGGAACCAAAGAACCAAAGACAATGATAAACAAAATGCTGAACCTGCTGCATAAGACTGAGGGAAGCTTTATTCTCTGGCTCCGCATTGCTGCATTTATTTTTTCACTCAACCAGTGTGTGTTGAGCCCCTTTAAGAACCAGGCCCCACGCTAAGTGCTAGAGAAATAATGGTGAGCAAACACAGGCCTGGTCCCCTCCCAGGCTAAGCCTGCAGTGCAGCTGGGGGGCTAGGGATCCCAACTGAAAACCACAAAGCGGTGTCAACAGCCACTGCAGTGAGTGCCCGAGAGGAGGGGTGCATGGCACTGTGAGTGCATGTTTATGGGGTCTGACTTGGTTAGGCAGGACGGGAAGCATCCTGAAAAACAGATGTTGAGCTGGATCTGAGGGATGAGATGGTAAAGAGGAGAGGGAAGGCTGTTTGGGGAAGCAACAATGGCATGTGTAAAGGCCCCGAGGTGGAAGAAAGAGAATAAAACAAACTGATAAGGGCTGGATCAGAGTGGGGGAGATATAGGTGGTGCCCAGGAGACCAGGGGCACAGTGGAGCTGGGGCGGGTCAGGGAGACCTCACAGGCAGGCAAGAATTAGGCCCCTTGTGCAGGGTGTCTGGGCCTCTCTTTCTTTCTTCCTCCCTTCCTTCCTCCCTTCCTTCCTTCCTTCCTTCCTCCTCCCTCCCTCCCTCCTCCCTCCTCCTCCTTCCTTCCTTCCTTCCTTCCTTCCTTCCTTCCTTCCTTCCTTCCTTCCTTCCTTCCTTCCTTCCTTCCTTCCTTCCTTCCTTCCTTCCTTCCTTCCTTCCTTCCTTCCTTCCTTCCTTCTTTTTTATTGACTTTAGACAGAGAGGAAAGGAAAGGGAAAGGGAGAAAGGAACACAGACTGGCTGCCTCCTGCAGGCCATGCACTGGGGATCAAGCCTGCAACCCTGGCATGCGCCCTGACCTAGAATCGAACCGGTGACCTCTAGGTGCACTGGACGATGCCCAACCAACTGAGCCAGCTTTCTTTCATTTTTTTTTAAAGAGCAACTGGAAGTCACTGAGATGCAGGGGGAGGAGACTAGGGATGCAGGGATACATTTGCATTTTGAAAGGTCACTCTGGCTGCAGTGTGAACATCTTAGAAAGTAATTTCTGCTTTGCAAATCCAATAAGCAGGGTTAGTATTCAGTTACTGGAAACAGAAGCTGAAGTCTTACAGCCAGATCTGAGTTTGAATCCCAGGTTAATTTCCACCACGGCCTTGGGCAAGCCAGCCTTTTAGAGCCTCAGTTAGCTCAAATATAAAATGGGATAATAATACCTCCTTCTGTCTTGTTGTGAGGGTAAGATAATTAAAGTTAATAAATAGTCTTGCTTGACACAAAACTCTTCTTGGGATTTTCAAAAGTAGAAACCCACTTTGATATAATATACGGTATGAAAAAACCAAAGCTCAGGTCAGATGGGTTTTCAGCTCTGCTTGGAGAACACATCTTGGACTTCACTTGAACTTCACCTTAGAAATACCTTCTCCCACTTCTTTGAAATAAGAACAACACAATAATAAAACAACCGTTTATTAAGCTGCTTGTACAAGGTACTGCAGTCATGCCTCCTGGTTTGGGCATTTATCAGATGATAGACCATGGAGAGATGAACAAGCCAAAAACATACAAATGACAAGTGAGCTTTATAAGTATAGAAACAGAGAAGTAAGCCATTGGCTGTTGGGTAAGTGGATGTGTTGGTGATAAATAAGTGACTGCCAGTATTTTATATTTAGCCAGAGGAGGGCTGGTAGATCAGTACAGAATTGGACATTTCTCATTTCCTAAATAGCCCAGGGCCCTGCTACAGTGACATTCCAGTTGATCTTAAGTCAAGGGTGTTGCCCAAAAGACTCAAGAATCAAGTTTAAGAGGTTCTTGTTGGCCAGTGATAAGACTATGTGAGCACCAAGGATATGAAACACATCAAATACAGTGGGGCCTTGACTTACGAGTGTCCCGACTAACGAGTTTTTCTAGATACGAGCCGTCTCTCGGCCAATTTTTTGCTTTGAGTTGCGGGCTAAAATTCGGGTTACGAGCCAGCTTCAGATACCCCACCGCTAGTTGGCGTAGCGAACATCACAGTGAACGCCACAACCTCAGCCCAGCATCACGTGTCTCACTCGTTCACTTTATGATTTGACATACGAGTAATTTGAGTTACGAGCTCCGTCACGGAATGAATTAAACTTGTAAGTCAAGGCCCCACTGTAGTTTGAAATTCTTGAGTTTATAATAACACTGAAAAAAATATTAAGCACTATTGCAAGGCGATACGAAACCAATATGAAACCTGGATGCTAATCCTACTTTCCCATTCACCAGCTGAGTGCCTTGGAAACTTCCCTCTCTGGTTCTGAGGGGCAGGAAGGGTTTCTAACATCCTGCAGGTTGTGGATCCTCACAATGATGAAGAGATTTGGGTCCTGCAACCTGACTGTCTGGGTTGGAATTTTAGTTTTCCCATATGTATCCTTGGGATATATATCTAGATTTTGTAAAACGTAAAGAATGCTTACTTTAAAGGGTTCCTGTACTGAATGCTATCTATAAACATTGAACACATAGCCTCTGGCTCAGGGGGTGGTGAGCTGTTTGGAGCCTAGATTCTTAGATAACACATAGTAAACACCAAATAAGCAGCAGGATTAAATAGCTAGAAGTATGAAGAAAACACCTCACAGCAAATTTATGGAGAGCAGCTTTCCAGGAAGGTGGGCTGCAACCTGCAATTGGTTGATTGGGCTGAGGGTAGTTGCCTGCCATGGCGGCAGGTGTGATGGAGCCTTCCAAGTGATTCTCAGCTTGGTTGACTCATCTCCCTCTCCCACGGTTCCCCATTTGGCAATGTCTGGGGGTTTTTGGTTGCCACAACTGTGGGAGAGGTCCTTCAGGCAAAGGACAGAGCTGCTGCTTAGAATCCTACAATGCATAGACCTCCCACACATCAAAAATGACCTAGCTCAAATGTCAATACTAATGGCAAGTTTAGAAACCCTGATTTAGAGAGAACAGCAAGGGCAAGGGTCCTGGGCCAGAAGGGAGTTTGCTGTGGTCAGGGTGCCAATGGAAATCCAGTGTAGCTGAGTTAACCAGGAGGAAGTGATGGAGGCTGGGCTATAAGATAGAACGCTTTTTAGAGTATAGTGTGGAACCTGGAATTATCTCCAAAAGCAGTAAGCAGCTCTTGGAGAGTTTTAAGTAGGGAAGGAAGGTAACCCATGTAATGCGCTATGTACATCTAAGAGCTTAAATAAATATTGTCTATTATTATTATTATTTTAAATATATTTTTATTGATTTTTTACAGAGAGAAAGGGAGAGAGATAGAGAGTTAGAAACATCGATGAGAGAGAAACATCGATCAGCTGCCTCCTGCACACTCCCCACTGGGGATGTGCCCGCAACCCAGGTACATGCCCCTGACCGGAATCGAACCTGGGACCTTTCAGTCCGCAGGCCGACACTCTATCCACTGAGCCAAACCGGTCTCGGCATATTATTATTTTTTAATAAATATATTTTTATTGATTTCAGAGAGAAAAGGAGAGGGAGAGAAACATCAATGATGAGAGAGAATCATTGGATAGCTGCCTCTTGCATGCCCCCTACTGGGGATCGAGCCCTCAACCTGGGCTGGGGACCCTTCAGTCCACAGACCAACACTAGGCTGTATATATATATGTATATATGTATGTATGTATTAATTTCAGGATGGGAGCGGGAGAGAGGTAGAAACTTCAATGCAATGGTGAGGATCATTGGCTGCCTTCTAAAAGGACCCCCACCGGGGATGGAGCTGGCAACCCGGCATGTGCCCTTAACCGGAATCGAACCCGGGATCCTTCAGTCTGCAGGGTGACGCTCTATCCACTGAGCAAGACCGGCTGGGACAAATGCTGTCTATTATCATCATCCCTTGTCTATGCTCCCTCCTCGGCCCCAGCCAGAATCCCGGTCTCAGCGTGGCCGCAGTGACTCCTCCTAGCCAGCAGGGGGCGCCAGCCGCACTTGGCCTCCGGCCGCTCGGGGCGGGCCTCCTCTTGCCGTCCCCCTCTCTCGGCTTCTCCCTTCTGGAGAAGTCGGGAAGGTGGCGGCGGCGGCGACGGTGGCTGTCCCGGCCGGGCCGGTTGGTGTGGGCGGTCAGTCCGCGCTCCGCAGCGCCCGCGCCGCGCCCAGCCCAGTGGACTCGAGCGGCGGCGGAGGCCAGCCCGGTGCGGGGGCGCGCGCGGACCGAGGGCGGCGGCCGCGGCCAGGGCGGCCCGTGGGAGCGCGGGCCCCCGGCGCAGCGCCGCCCGGCGCCCGGCCCTGCCGGCCTGCTCCCCGGGCGCCGCGACCATGGCGGCCAGCGCCAAGCGGAAGCAGGAGGAGAAGCACCTGAAGATGCTGCGGGACATGACCGGCCTCCCGCACAACCGAAAGTGCTTCGACTGCGACCAGCGCGGCCCCACCTACGTGAACATGACGGTGGGCTCCTTCGTCTGTACCTCCTGCTCCGGCTGCCTGTGAGTGGGGCGGCGGCGGGTGGGGAGAGGCCCGCCGGGCCGGGGCGGGGGCTCCGCGCGGCCGGGGCGGCCGTTGGGGCGCGGGCGGGCGGCTGGGATGCGCTCGGCCCCGGCTCCGGGCTGGGATGCGCTTTCGCTTTCGCCGGCCGAGGGTCCGGGGTCGGGCCGCCTCCGGGGTCGGGGCGTGGGCGGGCTGCGGGCGAGGACGGGGCGCCCGGGCCGAGCATCGGGGCGCCCGCGGAGCCGCCGCCTCCGGGTCCCCGGCCCCCGGGGGCGCTGACCGGTGCGGCCGTGGGGGGAAGGCCGGGGGAGAGGCGCCGGAGAGGGCGTGCGGGTCCCTAGTGCCCCGCCCCTCGGCCCGGGGCGGGCGGCCCTGCGAGGCACCTGCCGGCGCCGCCGGGTGGGAGCGGCAGGGAGGACGCCTCGCCGGGGCTCCCCCCGCGGGTCCAGGGCCCCGGGTCCCTGGGAGAAAGCGGGCACTTGGCAAGAGTAACAAGATGGAGATGCCCCGAGGGCACGGGCGTGAGTCCCGGGGGCGAGTTCGGAGGCTGCATTTCGGGCGAGGGAGGGGGAGCAGCCGTGAGGGGGAGGGGTGTGAGGGCAGGGTCCCGAGCGCGCCCGGAGGAGTTTGGGGAGAGCTGGGTGGGAAGAAGGCACCGCCGGGAGCTGTGTCATCCGGACGTGGTGGCGGCGTCCGCACGGGGGTCCCCTGCCCGGACCCGGGTGTCGGGCTGCGCCCGGGAGCGGGGAGGCGCAGAGACCCGAGACCACCGGCTTGACTTCCTGGGGCGGGAGGTGCTTGTTCATCTTTGCTTCAGTAAGCTTTATTTTAGTAAGGTTTTTGTTGGTGTGAAATTCCTTTTGGGAAGTTTGCAGATGATTTGGGAACTGACAGGTTGCTTTTCTGCAGTTATTTCAGTATGTATAGATTCTAAGCAAGTCAATTGACGAAGTAGTGCTTACTAAATATTAAGAGCTTTATTGCTCCAAAACACCTCGTTCTTTCGTTTGTACTATTCTTTCGAATAATTTGGTTACTCCCCTCTCTCCAACTTACACACACACACACACACACACCCTTTGTCATGTTAGTACTGAGACAGTACATGGCATATGAGAAAACATATTTGGAAAATGCAGGACATGTCCAGTAGTGTACGATTTGCTTTTATTTTTAAGTTGGGCACAAAGAGGCATAATTAGTCTTCTAAGTCTTATTTCTTCGACAAACATTTACTGGTGACTCGTAGGCTCTGAGTGAAGGTGTGGGGTGTTCTTACAAATACAGCGAAGTTCTTGTTCTTTTGGTGCTTACATTCTAGTGGGGGAAATGGTAAAGTGGAGAAAAATGTCAGGGGTAAGTATGCACTAAAATAGTATGATAGGAGAGACCTCCTCTGAGGTTACTTTTAGATTGGCAGTCAGGGAAGCACGGAGAATTTGACAAGTAGTGATAGTACTGAATTACCCCAGCATGGTCGAGCTCGGGTGGTATCTGAGATTGTCTGGTTCATGATTGTCATTTACAAATAGTTAAGTGACTTATGTTGGGCAACTTGGTTCTAAAAATGAAGTCAATAGTCCAGTTCTTTTTAAGTGTATTTGACATTTATTATGTGCATAGTAAGTATGTCTTTTACTTATAACACAAGGTCCTTTGATATATTTTAAGTATTTGGTTTGAAAAATATATGTATTTACTGTTCTGGATTTTGACATCTTTGTAGCCCTTTATAAGTATAGTGAGGAACATTTAATTTATTGCAGCAAATGCATAATACCAAGAACTACTTACAAATTTCCTAGATTCCACGTTTCAGAAACATTCTGTGTAAAAGTATACCTCAGTGTGATGACAATTGCTTATTTTAGTGGGATTTAATCTATAATAGATAGTGCTTCATATCTCTGTTTAGTGGTGATTCCACACATACTTATTGGTCACTTGACCTGTGTCAGACACTGTGGGAGGCATTGGTGTTAGGTGGATCCTCCTATCCTTAAGGGGTTTGCATTCTAAGTATATACATTTAGTTACAATACATTATAACATTTCCTTTCTTTGAATGAGCTACCCATGAAATATGTAAATGATAGAGAAAATTTCATAGAGGACTTGATGCCTGAGCAAAGACCTTTAAACCCAAGATCCATTTGGCAGGTAGGTTCATGTAGTTGAAAGATCAGGTATTTATGAGCTAGATAAACCTGGTTTTGAATCCTGGCTCCACTACTAGCTATGTGGTTTGGAGAATGCCACTCAGCCTCTTTGAACTTGAGTTTCCTCATCTATCACATGGTTTACCCTGTAGATTTTGTATGTAGATTAGGTTTCAATATTTGAGTCTGTAACATTTCATACAATGTCTGGTTCATGATAGATGCTCAATAAATGAGAGGCATTGTTAACAGGGTGGAGAGGACATTTCCCAGGTAGGGAACAATATATGAAAGACATCAAAATGAGAATAACTTTATAAAAATCTCTCAGGTTTGATTTTTTAGATTTAACTCAAAACCTGACTGAAATTGGTTAAAAAATATAAAGGGGATTATTGTTTGGTTTTAAGTAAGACTTTATCCAGTGGCTTAATGAGGTTGCCTAGATTTCCCTGGTCCAAAGATGGCTGCCTCCAGCTCCCAAAGCTGCATATCGTCCTTCCAGCTTGTCCAGACGTTCTGCAGTTCACTCTGGTTAGCTTGAACCAGTGCCTTTATTGGACACCTGTTCTATGCTGACTTCATTGGAACCACGAGGATCCCCAAATAGAATTCCCAAGTCAGAAATCTGGTATTCTTGGGAATGGATGGTGGATCAAATGTCTACTGCAGAAATACTGAAGGGACTGTAAGCTCCTGGGGATTCTATTTCTTTCAAAATCAATAATGCAGGAAAATAATTTAACGGTAATATAACTATTGAGTTTAATAATAAATAAACATTTATTATTTATTTATGGAATAATTGAAAGAATGTGAATTTTGAAGTCAGATTTTTGACACCTCTGCAAGCTTTATGACTTAGGGCAAGTATTAGCCAGGCCATAATGTGTGCGGATTGGCCTGGAGCCATCCCCTCAGCCTCAGTTTCTTCGTTTGTGATAAGAAGATGATAGAAGGTTGCTGTTCATTGAACATATACTAAATGTGAGGGCAGGGCTTATGTAGTAGATATAAAACAGGGGCGGGCAAAAGACCGATACAGTTGTTTGTATGGGAAATCCTATAAAATAAAAGGCTAATATGCAAATTGAACAGCAGAATGACTGGTTGCTGTGAGGGCACTGAAAACCACAGGGCAGATGCTCAATGCAGGAGCTGCCCCCTGGTGGTCAGTGTGCTCCCATAGTGGGAGCACCGCTCAGCCAGGAGCTGGGCTCACAACTGGCAAACTCAGGGGTGGTGGCAGGAGCCTCCACAGCAGTCAGACATCACCCGAGGGCTCCCGGACTGCAAGAGGGCACAGACTGGACTGAGGGATTCCCCCCGCCAAGTGCACGAATTTTGTACACTGGGCCTCTAGTAATACAATTATTAGTAATAATACAAGAATAAACTGTGGTTCATGTACTCACAAGTCTAAACCTGCTTTTGCCCACCCCTGTATTTTAAAGAAGGCATGCTAGCTGCCATTCAGAAACCTTGATGTGCCTAGAAAATTCCCATACACAGTAAATGGTGTACACTATCGGAATTCTAAACTTTAAGATAGTCACATCTTTTATCATTAATTTAACAATATCTTTAAGTAAATTAAATGCTAATATTACTAGACTCAGAGCTAATATTTTCTTTATTTTCAGAGGGCTTTCTTGTATTTGTATATGATTTTCATTCAGAGTACATAATTCATTTCAGATTGTGAAACTTGAAAATAGACTTCAGGTTTAGATATAGTTAAACTTTTCTTTATTGAGGCAGAATGGGGTGATGTAGCAGATTGATTTGTCACTGTCAGGTTCTATCAACAGAAATACTTCTGTTACAACCGATAATAAAATGTTAAATACTTAATTTTAGACCAAATTGTTTGTTTTGTGTAGACTAGCATTAGTATAACCAGGGAATAATATAAGAATTGTTCTATCCTTAAAAAATGATTCATAGCCCTGGCAGGTGTTGCTAAGTGGTTAGAGCAGGGGTGGGCAAACTTTTTGACTCGAGGGCCACAATGGGTTCTTAAACTGGACCGGAGGGTCGGAACAAAAGCATGGATGGAGTGTTTGTGTGAACTAATATACATTCAAAGTAAACATCATTACATAAAAGGGTACGGTCTTTTTTTTTTTAGTTTTATTCATTTCAAACGGGCCGGGTCCCGCCCCCGGGCCGTAGTTTGCCCCACGGCTGGGTTAGAGTGTCGGCCTGTGAACTGGAGGGTCTCGAGTTCTATTCCCAGTCAAGGGCACTGCCTGGGCTGTGGGTTCACTCCCTGTCCCTGGTCAGGAGCATGCAGGAGGCAACCAATTGATGTCTCTCTCACATCACATAGTTCTCTCTCCCTCCCTCTCTCCCTCTCTCCCACTGTCTGTTAAAGAGAAAAATATCCTCGAGTGAGGATTAACCACAACAAAGTTACTATTTTTCAGAAAGTGTTTAGATAAAATAAAAAATAACTTTTGAGAAATATATACTTTGTTTCTCTTAATATCAGCTATTTTATGTGCACAGTACATTTCATCTTGGAATTTTACCGGTGGATAAATGTAGCTGGATAGTAACTTAAACTCTATTAATTTTGTGTGCATTTTGACTTACAGTGAATCTTGCAAGATTATTAACTTTTTAAAATTAAAGTTGAACAGATGAAAAGAGGCATTTTATTTATTTTTATATAGTTACTAGAGACCTGATGCACGAAAATTCGTGCAAGAGTAGGCCTTCCTTCCCCCGGCTACCGGCACCGGCTTCCCTCTGGCACTGGCTTCCTTCTGGTACCAGGAACCCGGGCTGCTTCCGTCCTCCGGCTGCCCACAGGCACCCGGGACCCGGGCTGCCTTCTTCCTCCTGCCGCCCACAGGCACCTGACCCGGGCTGGCTTCCCTCTGGCCCCGGCTTTGTCAGGAAGAACATCCAGAATGATGTCGGAAGATGTCTGGTCTAATTAGCATATTACCCTTTTATTGTTACAGATAGATTAGCAGTAGATTACAATCAAATATCCTTTAGGAGTTCTGCTTATAGATAGAGTTTATTTCCTCATGAGGTCACAGTGGGCAGTGACTTATATCCTTAAATTCCTGTTTACTTTAAAAAAAAGTTTTTATTGATTGCAGAGAGAGGGAGAGAGAAACATCAGTGTGAGAGAGAAACATGTATTGGCTGCCTCCTGCACATCCTCTACTGGGGATCTAGCTGCAACCCATACATGTGCTCTGACCAGTAATCGAACCCAGTGACCTCTCAGTTCATGGGACGATGCTCAACCAACTGAGCCACTCCTGCTGGTCTCCTTTTCACTTTTTTTAGTGCTATAACGTGGTTACATTCAGGGAGATAGTTTGACAATGTAGTACAATTTAAGTTTATTGTAAGTGGGAAAACTATTTGATACATTTTCAGTTGCTAAATTTTGCAGGCTCTATGATGGGGGAAAGTAGGGAAATCATTACAAATAATAATATGAGAAGATATGAAAATTCTTCCTCATTTCTCTCTTCAAATCTTTATCTCTTACTCAATAAATCTTGGTGGCTCTAACTTGGAACACTAACTTAGAACAGTTGTGTTCAGTAGGTATGTATTTCTACAAAAGTGCTAGTATATAGTAAAGAAACTTGATATTTTTGGGAAATGTAAAATAATCACTCAAGTTTTCTAGGAATGCCTTTTTTTATCAGTTAAAGAAAACACCCTGTAAGTATATATCAGGTTTAATATTGACAAGAACTGTTCATTTTTCATTCTTTTTTTAATTTAATTTTTAATTCAATTTTGATTTTTATCAAAAGAATACATCATATAATTTAAAAATAGAAAGGCTTATAGTGAACAAAAATAGACATCTATTACCTTCTTCCATTTCTTATTACCATAAACAGTGATGTTGGATTCTTGTCTGTTTCCTCTTTCTATTTATGACCCTCCAGACCCCCCAACCTTTGTCTGATTTATTTGGTAATCTTTCAAGGGTTCTGTGGTGGGAATCAACTCTAGCTGGCTTCTCCCAACCCTGCAGGAGCTTCAATTTTTATTTTTATTCTGTGAAGTCAGTTACTGCTGGCATACTCACATTTTATCTCCCAAATTTTGTTATTTAAGAGCAATAGTGTGCTTTGGGGCTCCTCCCTTGTTCTCTTTCCCTCTGTCTCTTTCTGGGTCAATGCATTTAATGCCTTTGCTGTTATTTCAGCGGGTTTAGAGAGATAGTAAAGACATTCTTGAGTTTTGTCTACTTTTTACTGGAATGTCTTAATTAAGTTGTTACTTGAGTATTATTTTCTAGATGCTTGCCCTAAGTGTAAAAAGGAAGTTACAGTGTAATAATTGTGATTTTCAGAAAAACAAAATAACAACTGTGTTTTACACCATGGTGTGTGTGTGTGTGTGTGTGTGTGTGTGTGTGTGTATTTTCAGTGTTTTAAAGTTGGGTTCTGGATGATATTAAATAACTAGTATTGGAATAGATTTAAATGTCAAATTAACTTTATTACTTTATGCCAACAATAGCAAACCCTTAAATTTCCATAGCCTATTGGCAATATTTTACCAGCTTCTCCCCCAGCAGGGGAAAAACAATTTAATAACACTAACTAAATAAGCTTTCTTACTTATTCATCCAGCACACATTGTTATTTGAGATGAACAAATGGGTATTAGCAAGATTGTTTGAGGCATAGTTAAGAGCAGCATATGGAATGAGTCACACCATCTGGTTGCATTGATACCTGGGTGGTGGTTGTTAAAACTCCCAACTCCTGGGATCTGCATATGACTTAATAATACTGCAAAAACATATTGGACTACACCAGTAGGTGAGTTTGGAACATCTTAAAACCAATTAACTGGCAAACATCTTTCAAAATATCAATACTGCTATTATTAAATGAGTCATTATTTAAATTATATATATACACATATACTAACCTGGAGACTTAAAATATGTTTTTTAGGATCCAGAATGGGTAGTACCTCTATATTGGCACTGTAAAAATGATGTGGTATACTTGCTCAACCCTTATTCAATAGTTATGACTAATGTCATTACAGTAAAATGTTTACAAACACTGAATTCACATGACAGCTAGACAAGGTTAGAGAAAAAGGGAAGTGGCACTAACTTCCAGGAATACACCTTAAAAATAATTAGATAAATAAAAATTCATTTTTGATCAATTAAAGATTTTGTTCATTAATGATATCTTATAGGTGGAAATTTCTGTGTTCAGTTTCTTCTGCTATGCAATTTCCATTTCTGTTTTATGACTCACCAAGATCTAGAAGGAAAATAATTTGTTAATTTAAAATTTAAACCAAACCTAACTCAACACAGAATTCTCTCCTTTGAAATGTGAAGCAGATAAAGTGCAATAGAGTGTGCCATCTATCTCTGAAAGTTAGAGGGAGAGAAAGAAGGACAGGATATGAAGGTTGAGGGGCTCTGTTACTTATGAATTCTCCTTATTGTTTTGATTTAAAATAACATTACATACCATTTTTAATTACTCAAAGATGTTTCCAGAATATTTTTGAAAGACTTTGGTTCGTAATTTTACAGCATTGTTAAATTTCAGTTAGCATGGATGATTGCAAGATGACTATTCTGTAAGAGTATTGATAATCTGCTCTACAACCTGGATTCCAAATGACCCCTTTACCAGAGGACATGACTGTCAAAGTAATTTTATGAGACTTCGTATAAATTACTTTGTTACTTTGCAGAAATTATATGACCCTTATTCTTCTGGGTGGAGTAGCCACTTTGTGATATTTGGACAAAATGTAAATAGTTCTTAATCTCTCTGAGCACATTTCTGTTCACTTTTTTATGTGCATGATAAAACATCAAGAAACTCAAGAGATAGCGTCTTAAGGCCGTCTGTACAGAAAAGACATCAAGGTTGTAAAAGACCTTAAAAATCATTTAATCATGTATCTACCTATTTTTCAGTTCCCTTCTCCAGGGCCCTACTGTTTTCTCTTGAACACTTACTGCCTCATGAGGTTATTAATAATGTCCCTTATTATCAAACCTCACTTGAATTGATGAAGAGAGAGAACTTTATTCTTATTGTTAATAACTTTGCTTCCTTAGGTTAGTTTAATTTTCTAAATTAGCCTCAAACTTAAAGGTATAGCTATTTGATTAGAATATTTGTGTAGCTCCATGCATAACACATTATTATATTTTTTTAAAAAATATATTTTATTGATTTTCTACAGAGAGGAAGGGAGAGGGATAGAGAGTTAGAAACATCAATGAGAGAGAAACATTGATCAGCTGCCTCCTGCACACCCCCCACTGGGGATGTGCCCGCAACCAGGGTACATGCTCTTTACTGGAATCGAACCTGGGACCCTTCAGTCCTCAGGCTGACGCTCTATCCACTAAGCCAAACCAGTTAGGGCTTATCATATTTTCTTAAAAATGAAAATATTAAATAATCAATTACTTTTTGAATTCTTTACCATAGGGCTCTCTCACATATGTTGTCTTCTCCCTTCATCAAAACACACTAAAGCACTGTTTGTGTTTCCTAGAAGGTCATGTGTTATAGGTACTATGTGTTTCTAACTAGGTAGTCACTGAATTTATCTCTAAGTATATTGTTTAGTGTGGGTCTAGCCAAAATTACCTTGACATATCTGTTGTGGGGATTAATAGTTCAAAATAATTTTTAAAGATACCTTTAGTTTATGAAATAAAAGCATTGTTCCAAGTTTAAATGTGCTAGCTACAAATGTTTTGCATTGATACATAATTTTAAAATTATAGTATATAATAGTAAATTTGTAAAATATTTTCTTTCTTAGGCGAGGGTTAAATCCACCACACAGGGTGAAATCTATCTCCATGACAACATTCACACAACAGGAAATTGAATTCCTACAAAAACATGGAAATGAAGTAAGTGTTTTTACAATTTCAACTTTTTTGTTGGCAGCCATTTTAATAAGATTTAATAAGTTGTTTAGAATGGTGAATTTCACTGTCTTAAAAAAAAGTTATTTTTGTATTTTATATTTAGGTATTTTAGTATATAGTCATTTAATTTATTTAGAATTCATGTTTGCTATCTAAGTACTTTGCTTTAACCTGAGTTGAAATACATATATTTAAAATTCATCAGTGATGACTTATAAAAGGCATTTTAGAAGATGTCTAGTATTGGAGTAACTGTTAGTCTTTGCTTTAAAAGATTTTTTTTTAAAAAAACTTTATGGTGTTATCGTAAACTTTTGTTAGGCTGTTGTGTGATCAGCTTTCACTTGAGCTCCCCTCCTTCCTATATACTACATTTTATGTGATGTTTAATGTTATATTGAACTGGTGCTCAGAAGGGAGGAGGCTGGTAGTTCTGAGGGCACAGCATAGTGTCATGGGAAACCCAATAGTGTAAATATTTGTAGAGGAGTGTTGTCCTTCCACTCTGTTTTATTGGGCTTCCAGTAATTCCCTTCTGTTTGTTTGCTTTTTTGTTTTTAGTCCCATATTTTGCATTAGTAAAAGTTGGTGATGTAATATTTTTTTAAAACTATTACAAAAAAATCATAAAGAAAGTGGGCATATTTTATGACCTGCAGTAAGATGAGCCAGTCGCCTAATTAATTAATAGCCATTATACTTTTACTAGTAGCCTGGTGCACGAAATTTGTGCACATTAAAAGGGAATTAATTAGTGGAGATATTTTAATATTGCTATTTGCCCTTTCTCTATAATAGAAGTGTGAGAGATGAAAGGAAATTAGTAAAATGTATACGAAAATAATATATAAATTTATTAATAAATAAAAATAACAAAAGGATATAACAAAAACAGAGGCATGATATAAAAACGACAAAAACATGATATGAAAACAACAAAAACAGGATACAAAAACAACAGTGATGCAAACAATGACTGGTAAAGTGATTAAACTTATTCTAATATCTCCCTGTACACCACATTAAGAGTGAAAACACTTTCAGAGTGCTTGACTAATTTCCCTTGTGATGAAGTATTTAGAACTTTAACTAACGTCACATGCTCTTCAAACTCGAGAGAAAGCAACATATAACTGACCATGTGCGAAAACGGGTTCAGGTAGGAATATGCCTACCCTGTCTAGAGTTTGTCCTTGTGATTTATTAATAGTCATCACAAATGCTGGCATCACCGGAAACCGTCATCGAATCAATTTAAATGGGAGGCCAGTGTCAGATGGGGACAAATTAATTCTTCGAATCAGAACAACCTCTCCTTCTGCAGATCCTGTTAATACTTCAGCTTTGATAATGTTAGGTCGTAATCTTTTGATAATAAATCTGGTACCATTGCAAAGACCCCATTTACTATTGAGATTTCTCAATAGCATGATGATTGCACCCACTTTCAATTTTAATTTATGACACGGCATTCCAGAAGGAGTAATACTATTAAGAAATTCGACCGGAAAATTTTCCTTTTCAGCATCATCTGTGGAATCAATGGAATCATCACTCAAATATGTGTGAAAATCTCCATTGAGTATATCCAAAATTTCTTCATTTAATTTTTGAACATGCTCAATTTTTGGACAAAGAATTGCATGTTTAGATATATTTTTAACACATTTGTATGTGGGAAACGTATTTATACGTTTTATGTATTTATACGTTCTACCAGTGTAGTAGAGCGCGGGACACGTATTAATTCGTTTTTTATAGACTAGTGGTAGAATGCGGGTAACGTATAAATACGTAAACTAAAGTTATCGTAATTTTACTGAACGTTGCCGTTTGCGCAAAAAATTAGCAAAAATGGCCCACGCCACCTGTTAGCGCGTGATAAAAACTACCCGCAAACAATGTGTTAATATTATCTATAGATATAGTATTTCCAAAGGTAGCTTCAATAATAGATCTATTACAAATCATTTCACAGGGGATTTCAATAATATCCATTCCTAAATGAAAACTGCTATCAAGTTTGCCATCTCCAAGTTTTACTAACCATCCACTATAAGCAGAATCCTCTGATCTCATATTTGTTGTAAGAGACAACTTTCTGAAACATCCCCAAACATTGCAGTACTTTACACTCGTTTGTACTATGGCCGATCCCATAGCATGCGGTACAATACTGAGACATTGTCGAAAATCCCCTCCAAGAAGGAGAACTTTCCCACCAAATACAACATTCAGACTCATAATTTCTCTTAGTAATCTGTCTATGGCGTTTATAGCATGACTGGATCCCATAGTGCATTCATCAATAATGAGTTGGGCCTTTTTAATAGTTTAAGCAACTTCACTCTTTATATCGAGTTTAGAAATTGAAGTTTCATTTAATGGAATCGGTAATTTATATTGGGAATGAAAGGTGCTTCCACCGAGAAGTAAATTTGCAGCAATTCCTGTAGACGCTATGGGTAAAACAGTACCACCACGACCTCTAATATAATGTATTAAAACTTTATACAGATATGCAGGTGAATAGGATTCCTAGCTGTCAGCCCCCTGACAGCAAGCTGGCCACCTGTTGATTCCGTGAGGAAAGGGGCTCCCTCCTCCCTCCTGTCAGGGTCCGGGGTGCAGGTGAATGGGGTTCCTGGCTGGCAGGCCACTGACAGCAAGCTATCCAACAGCAGATTCTGTGAGGAATGGGGCTGCCTCCTCCCTACTACCAGGGTCTGGTTTGAAGGTTGGCCACGCCCCCTGTTGGGCCAGACCCAGAGTTCTACCACGCTGTGGCCTCCGCCTCAGCAACCCAGGACTGACTGCTGCTGGGCGCTCCTGGTGCTCTGAGGGTGAGTTCTTCCCTCAGGCCTCGCAGGAAACAGCTTGGGGAGGGCGCAGACCTTGGCAAGGCAACCCAGGACTCAGTGCTTCCACACTCCACTCTGAGGGTGGGTTCCTGCCTGAAACCTCGCCCTCCGGGAAACAGCTGGGAGAGGGCACAGCCATTTCCAAGACGACCCCTGCAGGACTGACTTCCTTCTGGTTGGTCGAGCTTCGGGACGTGATGTTACACCCTGGGTTTTTATATAAGTAGATAGGCAATTCATCACTTCCAATAAAGGAAAGAGTAGTTTTGTTGTACTGTTCTGGTTGTATTTTTTTGATACAAGAGAAGTTAAGTGTTAAGATTTTGTTAGTTTCAATCTTCTCTCACCTTCAAAAGATATATGCAAGCATTTTTGACTCTGCGTGTCTTTCTTCCAAATACTTGATAATAATACCTTAAACTTGCTTGCCTACTTGTGATGTACATGTGTTTTTGGTTCTAAAATAGTGAAGAAGTGTAAATTCAAGATTTAATGAAATATTTTTAAGTACATGGATTTCTAGAAGTGAGCACTTTGCAGTTTCCAGATTTTATAATCAAGTTCCAGACTGATTGTGGTACATTATAGGAAAATCTAAAGCTAGAAGAAAGTGCAAAAAATTTGTAATGACATTTCAGTATAGAATAATATATTTACAGATTAAAATACAATTTGGACTATTTGTATAAATTTTAGAATTAGCCTAGTACTGAAAATTTTAAATTACTTTCTTAGAATGTTGACCTAGTATGCAAAATTTTGGACATCAGAATGAAATCAGAAATAAAAATATATTATTGTTTTTTTAGATTAAAAGTCTAATGACTGTAACAGAACTGGAAAGGTAACAAACAGTTCATTGGGGAAATAAGTAAAAATATCCAAACTTGTTAGTTGATAAGTTTAGGTGGAAATTGGTGCCAAAATATTAAGATTTCTCAAAAAAAAATTGTGGTAATGACACTTAACGTGAGATCTATCTTAAACATTTTTAAAGTGTACAGTACAGTGTTATTGACTATAGGCACAGTGCTACAGCAGATCTCTAGCACTTACTCGTCTTACAGACTGAACTTTATACCCATTGAACAGCACTTCCCCATTCCCCCTCCCAGCCCCTGGCACACTGCTCTACTTTCTGCTTCTATGAGTTTGACTATTTTAGATCTCACATAAGTGGAATCATACAGTATTTGTCCTTCTGTGACTGGCTTATTTCACTTTAGCAAAAAGTCCTCAAGATTTATTCATGTTTCACATATGTCAAGGATTTCTGAGGGAACATTTTTTAAGACTGTAATATCAAAATGAATTTAGAAAATATGAAAGGCGCTGCTTGATTTTAGATAACGCATTATGTCAAAAGGTAGAAACAAAATATAAATATGAGAGATGACTGGAATGGGTTCATGACTCTTAAATTCTAAAGAGTCAGTCAAATTGATAGGCCACTTGGAATCCTCACCATGACAGTCACTGAGCTCAGTACTGTGGATGCAGTTACAGATCTGTGTGCATCGGCGGCTTAGCTGACAACACTACAGTTGAATTGAGGGAGACAGATATGTAACATATTACAATATGGTGTTAGATAATTAAGATGAGTAAGAATTTCAGAAGTTATATGGTGACAAGGAGAGTGTTGGGAAACTCACGAAGAACATGACACGTTTGCTGGTTTTTGAGAGAAACTAGGACTTAAGCTGGCAGGAAAAGATATTGAAGGCAAAGCAAACACTGCACAAAGAAAAGGGAAATTTGCAATAGTTCTTACTGTTAGAAAACATACTGACCTTTTAAATGCTTGTTAAGGAATACAGGCATACCTTCTTGTGTCCCTAAGGACATCTTGGAACCAAAATATTCAGGTAGGTATATTTGATTCTTTACAACACTAGCAATATCTGTGTTCTTAAAAACTTAAGATATGTGTAAAATGTGAGGACTAATATTATGAAGTGCAGGATGGTTGGTACAACTTCATAAAAATACGGACTTCAACTGCATGTGCTTTATCATCAGTTTATCATATTTAAACCTTTAAATCTTAAAGACAACATGCATACAAAAAAGTATACAGATTTTAACTATGTAAAGAACCATACTTAAATCACATAAAAT